AGAGGCCAGGCAGCTGAGAAGCTCTGGAGTGGAACGGGGCAGAGATGATGCAAATTAACTTCCTAAATTATCTTTCCTGTACAGCTGTGGGCTGAGGGGACAGCCTGGGCTCTAGGGCTCAGGTCCATGGTTAGTGACTTCTCATGTTCTGATTCCCTTTGATGCCTTTTCTCCCAACGGCTCCCTCCTCTCCCCTCACACGGGTCCTACTCACAGATAATGCGGCAGTGAAAGAGCCAGGAGATATTGGGGCTGCGTTCCATCTGAGGCAGAGCAGAAAAGGGCCCATAAGGAAGGCCAGGGCGCACTCCACATCCCCAACCTGGCCCTCACTCCACAAGCCTGCCCCCCGGCCCCTCCCTGGCTTCTGTCGCGACTCACAAAGTCCACGCGGTCTTCAGCCAGCCAGTGAAAACACTTGAGGAAGAGAAGGAGAGTGAAAAGTGCGACAAAGCGGGGGCTGAAGTCATCCCGAAAGACGGTGAAGGCCAGACAAGTCTCAGTGACAGCATACCAAGACCGCTCCAGAAGGTGCTAGAGATTTGACAAAGAATGATGTAAACTCAGACATACTGCTCGCCCAGCTTCCTGGCCCTCACCTTTGGGGCCACGAACATCTTACCTCCATCTCTGCTGCTCTCAGCTGTCCAAAAAACACCTTGCCCATCACCTTGCCCAAGAGGAAGACCAGGACGAAAGCTTGGATGTACAGAACCTAGGAGTAAGGAGAGGCTACGGTTTGAGGTCACGTTCAGCTTTGCCTGGGGCTCATCATTCCGGAACCTCCCGGTGTCCCCATCACAGTTTATTCAAAGTTAGGCAGCTGGTGGATACTTCTCTACTTGCCTGACTTCTAGCCCACCCCTGTCTCAAGCAACCTCCTCCTTCTCTCCTACCCAGTTCCTCCCAAAGCCATCAACTCACTGCCATGCTGGGGCTGGACTTGGTCAAGTACACCACAGTGGGGTAGAACTGGTGCTTGAGGTAGTAGGCATGAGCCACCACGGCCCCGGTCAGTGCCAGGCTGGCCGCCATCATCACTGCGGTGCGGAACATTGCCCTGGTCTGGAGCCCTGCACGGAGAAAGGAAAGGACTTGTGTGATGCGCATACAAGCACATCTAGCTAGTGCCTGTAATGCAGAGGCAGAAAATAGGAAGAAGGAAAAACACATTTCACTTTCACAATAATCATATTAAGAATAGCATATACTCAATTTTACAAATAAGAAAACAGACTCAAAGGGGTTAAGTGGCCACACTGACGCAAGGCCTGGAGCCTGGGTCAGTCTTGTTTCAAATCTAGGGCTCTTTCCTCGCTGCCTGCCAAGCCGCCGCCCCTAGGGAGGAATGAAGAGGCAGCAACACTGGCAGGGAGGAACTGCTACCACTGACCCTAAAGTTAAGATGATGCGCTGGGATGCACATCTCCAGAAGTGAGAACGTGCGACCTGGACTGGGAGAAGCCAAGGTGCTGGAGGAGCGGGTGACGCAACTGGGGGCGGCAGCGCCAGTGACAGCTCTGCCAGGGTGGGCAGCTCCGACGCGCGCCCCGCGGAAGCAGGCCGGGTATGTCAGTCTGGATCACTGGTGCCCCCCCAAGCCCCAGCGCAGTGTCAACTTGGGGCACTGGAGGAACGGCCGACCGACAAGATGCAGTGGCGCGACTGAGAGGGTCCCGGGTCGCAACCGCGGTCGTGCACCTGTACGCGCCAGGAGCTACCAGCGTCGCAGGCGGGGCCCAGCCTCAGAAGAGCGGGCGCGCGGGCGCCTGAGGTCTACCGCCAGCTGACAGGCCGAAATCGGGCGGCGGGGCTGAGGGGCGCGCCGACCCCGGAGACCTCAAGGGGAGGGTCCAGGAACCGACTCCAACCACAACCCCGGCCCGATCCGGACCCACTCACCAGGAGCCCAGCGCCGCGAGCCCGCTCAATCGCCGCGACTGCGGAGGCGGCTCCGGTTAACAACACTCCTCACCCCCTGCGAGCCGGAACTTCGGGGGTGAGACACCTCACTTCCGGCAGCGCGGGGCGCGGCGTGGGCCGTACCAAGCGCTCCCTTTCCTTCCCCGCGTCGCGCTCCTTCCCTGCTGCCGGGAGCAGTCGTCCCACCATCATATCTGGGGTGCTTGCCCACTGTTCGAGCAAGAGAGGCATTAGGCGGTCGGAGCAGGACAGGGCAACGCGGGGAGTGATTAGAGTCCCCCTACTTATTAACCATAGATGGTATCGTCTTCGCCGCCGGGTGGACTCAACCTAGCGGAGGACTCAGGCTCTCAAAAGTGGGTGGAAGGTGGAGCACTGTGCGGGCCGTACTACTTAGGGGGATAGACATTACAGGCCTGAGACAAAATGTTTTAGAGATTCATTCCAGGGGGATCCACAACAGTTTGAGAAATAAGATGCCTTCTGAGAAAACGATTCAAAAAAGAAAAATTTATCTCCTCCACGATCAACTCCAAATTATGTGGGAGTGAGTTGGATCCCCGTGGCTGCTACTAATTGGTCAAGATAGAGTTACGCGGACCAATAAGAAAAAGAAAGGAAAATTTCTGGCCTATAGGAAGAGAAAGGCAGGTGAGCGGTTGCTAGGGGCGGGCAGCTGGGTTGCCTAGGACTTGGTCCAACCCCAGTTGGCGGAGAGTGGGGAAGGCACAGGCCGTGGGCGGGTGGGTGATCAGTGTCTGCCTTGCGGGAGCATTTGCCGCACCACGAAGGGGAGGGGCAGCTAGGTGTGTCTCGGACTGAGGAGAAAGCAGACTTTTAATGCTAGCTAATCTTAGGATGAGTATGTTCTGTGCGAACGGATAGACTTCAACACTGCATGCCCGCATCCCCTACCCCCGTGCGAGCAGCTTGACTGTCCTTGTATTGTTCGGTTCTGGGCCATAGGCACGGCTTCCCCCTCGTTTTAGGCTAACCTGTATTTCATTGTGTATCTCGGTCACCACCAACCCAGTCAGCTCATTGACATAGTGGAGCTAATGTCCCCACTTCGTGCCTTGTGTCTAGTGTCATTAGAGTTAATAAATGAGTTCAGCAAGGTTGCAGGTTAGAAGATTAATATGCAAAATCAATCGTGTTGTTACACACTAGCAGTGAACAATGCGACGTCAAGAAAACAATTCCATTTATGATACACACAAAAAGTGCTTGTGAATAAATTTAGCAAAAAAATATCAGATTGGTACAGTGAATATTACAAAACATTATTGAAAGAAATTAAAGATCTAAATAAATGGAAAGATACCTCGAATGTACAGATTCAAAGACTTAATATTTTTAGATGGGCATACTCCCCAAAATTGATGTAAGAAAAACCCAGTCCCTATCAAAATGCCAGCTGCCATGATTGCAAAAATTGACAAGGTGATCCTAAAATTCATGTTGAAATGGGTGAGACTCAGAATAGAGCAAAACAGTTTTAAAAAGGAAGAATTTTAAAAAGAGAAAGCAAATGAATAATAGAGTACTCATACTTCCTGATTTTAAAACTTACTGCGAAGCCACAATAATCAAGATAGACAAATAAATCAATGGAATAGAATTAAGAGTTCAGAATAAACCCATACATTTATGGTCAGTGGGTGTGCCAAGGGTGCCAAGACAATGCAATGAGGGAAAGAATAATCTTGTTAACAAATGGTGCTGGGGCCCATACCTTACACTGTATACAAAAATTAGCTCGAAATGGATCAAAGACCTAAATGTAAGACCTAAAGTCATAAACGTCCTAGAAGAAAACAATCATAAGTCTTCATGACCTTAGGTTAGATAATGATTTCTTGGAGATGACACCAAAAAGCACAGCAACAAATGAAAAACTAGATAAATAGGACTTCATCAAAATTTTTTAAATGTGCTTTAAAGAACACCATTAAAAAAGTGAAAAGATAACCCACAGAAAGGGAGAAAATATTTGCAAATCATATATTTGATAAGGAACTTGTATCTAAAATACATAAACAACTCTTACAACTCAATGATAAAAACGCAAGTAACTCAATTTTATGGGGAAAGGATTTCAATAGAAACTTATTCAAAGAAGATATAAAAGTGGCTGATAGGCACATTATGGATATGTAAATCAAAAACACTATGAGATACCACTTCACACCCACTAGGATGTTATAATTAAAAAGACCAACAATAACAACTGTTACGAAAGATGTGGAGAAATTAGTACCCTCATGTATTTCTGGTAAAATTGTACAGACGCTTTGTAAAACAGTTGGCAATTCCTTGATCAGTTAGACAGAGTTACCGTGTGACCCAGAGTTCCACTCCTAGGTACGTACCCAAGAGAACTGAGAACAACTGTTCCCATGAACACTTGTACGGTGAATGTCCACAGCAGCATTATTCATAATAGCCAATAAGTGGAAACAACACAAATGCCTATGAGGGGATAAACATAATATAGCCATGAGTATTATTCAGCTATCAATAGGAATGAAGTACTGATACATGCTACGACATTGACAAACCTTGAAAACATTATGCTAAGTGAAAGAAGGCAGCCACAAAAGGCCACATATTATATCATTCCATTTATGTAAAATGTCCAGAATAGTTAAATTCATATAGATAGAGAGTAGTTAGTGATTGCTAGGGGCTGGTGAAGTGGGGAATGGGAACCGGCTACTAATGGATATGTTTTTTTGCGGGGGAAGTGATAAAAATCTTCTGGAATAGATAATGGTGACAGTTTCACAACTTTGTGAATATATCTAAAACCACTGAATTGTACACTTTAGAATGGTGAATATTATGGAATATGATTTATATCATTAAAAAGGCAAGGAAGTGACAAAGATAAAATAGGAATTAATAAAATAGATAAAAGCTAAAATAGAGAAGATTAATAAAGTTCAAAGTGGCTCTTTGAATAAGCTATTGAAATAGACAATCCTCTGGCAAGACTGATCAAGAAAATAAAGTTAAGGTACAAATAAACAATATCATGAAAGAGAAGAGGAAAATATGTAACCACAAATACAGTAGAAATTTAAAAATAATAAGGATCTAGTAGGTGCAATTTTATGGCAATTTGAAAGCTTAAATGAAATGAACAATTTCCTGGAAAATAAAAGACGTGTCTAAACTGATCCAACACAAAACAGAAAACATGAATAGACCAATAAATATTTTTAAGATGACTCACTAGTTAAGTATCTCCATTCTTTCTCCCCATATGCAGACAATACAAGATTTTATTAGGCCCAGAAGGTTTACAAGTTCAGCATTATAAAAATCTCAATTCTCCCCCAAATCGATCTAAAATTTCAATTTAAATTACAAGGATTTTTCATGAAACTTAAGAGTTTATTTTTAAACGCATATGAAAGAGCAAAATGTCAAGACAATTTTTAAGAAGAAATACAAGATGGGGTCCTCTCCTCCACAACAAGTATAATTTTTATCTCTTTTACCTAAGACATTGTAATACTGTCCCGGTAATATGGAACTAAATCAATGAAACAACGTAGAAAACTAGAAATTGACCCAGGCTGGTGTGGAAAGCAGAGATATGACAGTGACAGTAATGCATATCGCTGGAGAAAAGATGGGACCTGAAATAAATGGTGCAGGGACAATTGATGACTCATATGGAAAATAACTCCACATCATACAGGAAAATCAATTCTAAGAAAAATTGATTCACTTCAATGTTAAAAAGCAAAAAATTTAAACTTTCAGAAGAAAATAAAGGAGACTATGAGGTAGGGAAGGATTTCTTTTAAAAAGACACACAAAAAGCATAAACCAGAGAGGAAAATATAGATAAATTTGACAACACTAAAATACAAAATTTCTGTGCACTAAAAGTGTCCATAAACAGGATTAACAGTTAATGGATCATATTATGGTGATTGAAATGTTCTAAAACTGCTTTACGGTGATAGTTGCACATCTTGGTAAATTTCCTAAAAATTCTTTGAATTGTACACTTGTGGGTAAATTATATATATAAAATATGCCTCAATAAAGTTATATATTTTTGAGAATTGTTAAAAGTTTCATAAACAAAGCAAAACAACAAGTGACAGACTAAGAGAAGATTAAAGATTTGTATCTAGAACATAAAAAGAACTCCTCCAAATCAGTCAGACAACTAACTGAAAATTGTCAAAGGTTATACACAGATAAATAGGAATTTTAATCGCTAAAAAATGTGAAAAGATGCTCAACTTTACTGATAATTAAGGAAATGATTATTTAAGCAAGAAGGAAGAAATTTTTTATTCTTAGTTTTGGCAGAAAGTAATAAGTCTTACCATCCCCATATGTCAAGAATGTAAAGCAAAATAACTCTTTGGGGGTGTGGTAAAGGAGAGTGATTTAGCAATATCTAGTAAATTTGAACATGTGCTTATTACCCCTCACCCCAGTGACTTCACTCCTAGAGAAATCCTCTCACGTGTACAGAGGAACATACACAGAGAATATTCACTGCAGCGCTATTCATAAGTAAAGGACAATTGTAGACACCTAAATGCATCCTTAGAAGAGAGAGCATAAGCTACAATTTAATCGTGCAGTGGAATACTGTACAGTATAGTGAAAATCAGTTATCCAACCTATTGGTCAGCTGATCAACCTCAGTGTTTAATGTGCACTCCTTGATAGGTTTGTGTATTTAGATCGTCATAAGTTTTTAATCACTTCCTTCACACAGAGGTGGGGTTTATTGATTCTGGCCTTGGCATATGACTTGCTTTGAACCAATAGACTGCAGTGCAAATGATGCCATGCCAACTCTAGGCTTAAGAGAACTGTCAGCTTCTATTTCCATTCCTTGGAACCCAGCCACCATGCTGTGAGGGAGCCCAAGCAGTCCTGTGAGGAGGCCCATGTAGAAGAATCGAGGCCCCAGCCAACGGCCAGCACCAACTTGCCATGTAGTTAGCCATCTTGGAAGTGGATCCTCCAGCTTCAGTCAAACTGCTCCAGATAACATCACATGGAAGAGCACTGTCCACTCCAGACCTTGCTCAAATTGCACAATGGTAAGGAAATAAATGATTGTTATTATTGCAAACTTCTAAGTTTTAGGGTAATTTGTTTCACAGCAACAGATAACCAAAATAGTGGGCATCATGTCTGGTTTGTGTCCCTCTTCCCAGCCCCGGGTCCAGGATCGGGCACAAAATAAGAGTTCAGTGAGTATTGAAGGAGTGAATAAATGGATAGCTGGATGGATGGATGGATGGATGGATGGATGGATGGATGGATGGATGGATGGATGGATGGATTGATGGACGGATGGACGGATGGATGGACGGACGGACGGATGGATGGATGGATGGATGGATGGATGGATAAGTGAATTGTCTTGGGCCTCACTGCTCTGAGAAAAAGCCTTCCTAATTGAGCATTTGGATTCTTGCATGATTTGTTTGCAGCCTGCCTTCCTCATTCATCATGCGGTTTGTGTTGTGGCTGAACTTAACTTGTCCCCATTCCCCAAAATCTGCGTGTCTCTTCAGCCTAGCTTTCTTCTCTTTTGATCCTCCTTTGTCTAAGGTGTTTTCTCTCTCCTGTTTACCTCTAAAATCCGTCTCATACAACCAAAGACACTTTCGAGTGTCAGCCAGAACTTGAGTGAGTCTCCTCCTCCTTTTGGTGCCTGTGACATTGACCAAATGTGAACATAGCCTCATCTGACCCTATGTTCTAATTGCTCCTGTGTCTGTGACCTCCGTCAGGGCAGGGCTCAGAATAATAAAAATAAGTACTTCTAATGTGCTGTAAATTGTAATGATAATCACTCAGCCCATATATATTCAGCTTTGACTGAATGCCAGGCATGGTTTTAATCCTTAAAACAATCCTATGAGCCAGGAACCATTATCATGCCCCCCTCCGGTGCGCTGGGGCGAGAGAAGGTTGCTCATTGCTGCCCCGGAGAGGCCGCCATGCCAAGTGGACAGCAGTGGATTTAGGGTGTTCCTGCCCACTGCAGTGGGTGGGCAGGAAGGTGTGAGGCCACATCAGGACTCTGTGAGCATCTGTGAGAGGGACATAGTCTACAGGGATCCAAAGATAGGACCTATCACCTAAGTCTAGTACAGACAAAGAAAGGTGTTGGGGACAATAGGTGTGGGCTTGGGCAATCACTTGGCACCCAATCGATCAACACAATTTTAGGGGATCGGTTATGTGCCAGGCATGGGGATGGGTGCTGGGGACTCAACGGTGAGCAAAAAGATACCTTTCGCCCTCAAAAGCCTTCTTGTCCAGTGCAAGAAATTCAGGCCACACACCTCTCCTCCTGCCTTTCGCGCTTCCTCCTCCCTCCCTCCCTCCCTCCCTCCCATTAGAATAGATGGAGTCTCCCTCCTCCCATCGATTCAGTCGTTTCTTCATCCAACAAGTATTTACTGATGACAAAGTAGAGAATGCATTAGTGAACACATTAGATACAAATCCCTGTCCTCGTGGAGCTTAGAGTCAATAAAAGACAACAAATAAATAAGGAAACAGAGAGAAGTGACCACTTTGAGAAATCAAGGGGAGGCGGAGCAGATGAGGAGGTCTGAGTGTTTGAAAGGAGGAGAGACAGTTCTCCTGATCTAGCAGGAGGTGTGCACAGATGTGGATTCGGGTAGATGGATAGGAGTAGG